CGACTTGCACACCCAGTGAGATTGAAGGCTGTATAGCTGCACAAAGGTCAGTCTTCCGTGCCGATGGTTGACAAAGGGCAGCAGCTGTTTTCCGATTCAGGGAAAAACATCTCAAACCATTCTGCACTAGTTACATTGGGTAAGAGACCCTCATTATGGGTGAGCTCCGTTCACCCGAAAGTGAGATCGCCATACTCAGTGCAGAACACTATAATCTATATACTCACTCATTATGCCTCAACCATACCTCCCGTGAATGCATCCATAGGCCACATATTTTTCAGTAACTCTTGCACCTCAAGCCGAGGCGGTTTGTCATGCTGTCACATTACAAGTCACAACGGTTGTCCGCGGCCTCCAAGGTCTGAGTAACCCCATTTTGATCGATACGGAAAACCAAAAGGACACCAACGAGTTTGAGGAAACGGCCGCTATAGCAAACACAAGCAAGTTTCTTCAATTGCACCAAGGCGCGAGGCAGGCTCTGCGGCAGATGAATCTTCAAGCTCCTGACATGATAAAACCCGGGCTTCCCGTTCAAACAATCGGACGTGTCTTTCATTGTATTTCTGTGCAGGGGAAGTCCCTCTGGGGGGACTGCTTTTTAGGGCAATCCAAGGGACACCACGGATTGGGGTGGCAACCTCGAGAAATTCCTGCAAGATACTGGAAGCAAGGCTCTGTGGGCCAACGAACTGTTAAAGGGTGTGCCAGTACACTATTCGCACTGTGGCATACTTGAACAAGGTCATTCTGGCCCAGTACTGTTTCGAGGAATGCTGACAAGCGACCTCACCTTCCATAAGTAGCTTAAACTTACCCCCATAAAACACATGGTCCAAGTCTAACGAGCAATAATCAACAGCAGTGGTTTTCCCAAAACGGACATTGGGGAACGTAGTGAGTCGCTGCTTGTTTCTGGGACTGTAGTAAGTCCCCCAGGTCCCTCCGAAAGATTCAGCCATTCCCCCGACGACGAGAACCAGCTTTGCAAGCCTTCGAGCGAGGCTTGCGAAGATCCTAGAAGGTATGACGGGTGGGAAAGTGGTTCCCGAGTGGAAACCAAAGGAAGCCATCCACCGACTTTCTACCCAGTGGTTTGATCATCTTCGAACGGCTCGAATGGAGTAACCCACGTCCTCCAGCGTCCAGGCACTTCGCCCAGTCTTCTTGTGGAAGAAGTAGTTGTGCTGCGCGGGACAGACTGACAAGGAACAGTTGAAGGCACATCTAACTACCAAATGTAAAAGGTCTGACTCCTAGCTGTGTGTGTACAGCGAGGCGAGGGTTACTTCTGCCGCCTCCCTATTAAGCTCAGGGATAGTTCACCCAAGGCCCTATTCAGTATGAGAAACAGGCCGGAGGGAGATCGATCAACGTGTCAACCACAAGGGTGCCCTCACACGGCAGAGTCCAAGCACGTGAATTACGCATGGGACTGGCCACAAAGCAGTTCATGCACATGTGGCCAATTAATGATCATTGGCTGAGTCGCAGTAGTAGGGCAGAAGTAAGTCGTACAAGGACCATATTGAATCAATCATCTCCGCTACATTTGGACACAAAGGCCTATCTTATATACCATTGCTGTAGTTAGACTCTGGAGTAAAATTTGTTCCATCGCTTGCTCAGCCCCAAGAGCATCAACACCCTGTGATTGACTTACCCAAATGTGAAACCCCTGGGGCGAAGTCTCGGGTTCTCCAAATAGGGTGTGCCTGAAAATGTGCTTTTTGCTTTCAAAACACCCACATGAGTCACCTGTGCCCACGTCTGCGAATTGGCGCCTTCTTCACCGGATCCCACATCTCCACGATGTTGGGATCTCGCTTCGAAAGCTTTAGTGCCTGCGAATTCAACCGCCTAGCCATTGTTGGCATTGTCCAGATTTTGTTTTTGATACAAAAGGAACTGGACTGCAACCCAGAGGGCACTCCCGGGTACCTGACGCCTTTGCAGGTTTGGAAATCAGTGATTAAAACGTTCCTTGGAACCAAATTAGAGTACTTGGACCGTTGGTAGTAGGCCGACAAGTGTTGCAAATCCTTGGGTGGGGTGGTCTGTGAAATATTCAGCTCATGACTGAACCATTTGTATTGATTTGTTTTCCGCAAATGCTTGGTCTGTGCGATCTGTCACTTGTCAGAGGTGATCTGTTGTTTGCAATTTTTTGTGCGGGGGTATTGACCGCCTTCGGCTTGAGATGCTGTCTTCCACGGAAAGATAGCCCCAAGCGCTGTTTGGAGCAACCATGCGGGATGTTCTGTAGCGGCAGGTGTTGTTTCCACGATCAAAGCCAAGTCGGTTCACAGTCAAACGGGACGGGAGTTGTACCCTCAGGGCAGCATGACAAGGAGAGATTGCTCCTAAAACATTCCACACTGACGCATAAGAGTGTTGAGCAGGGACCCAGACTGGACGGGTCAAAATATGAGACTGACAACAGCTTGTTTGGCTGAGCTTTTTTGCTGGAGACGTTCCCATTCTGGAAGTGATCATTCCCTGGATGATTGATAGGGGCGTGTCCAAGCATTTCAGAACGGTTCCTTGACTTTGGGATCCGGCGTCAACACTGGGCAAGTTATTGCAGTGCGCACCCATGATTGCTTGAGTAATATTCATTATTAGATGGGTGTTTAAAGTATTGTATATTATGATGCATGCAAGTGTTCAGCACCCAGACCCTTCCTTTTGGTGAGTTCAGCCAAGGTTTAAACACCAAGGGATTTGTGTTAACCTTCTTTCAAACAAGACCATAGGGAGATTGCTCAAACAACAGCGGATTTCTCCCCTCTGATTAACAAGGAACCCTCCTGTCTAGAGGAATCTCCTGTTGGGGGATCTGCTTGGGCTCCACGTCAATTTGCAGTGGGAGTACCCTCCAACCCACCAGAGGGTCCCGTTTAAAGGAACATAGTCCAAACCAGGACTCGAGACTTAAACCCAGGTTGGACACCATCAACGGGTTACCGTGGAAATATTAGACAGGCAATCAAACAAATGGAGCCTGCTGTTCTTTTCAGGCCGCATGCGACCGCGATGCCTCTTGGCGATTGGTCACCAGCAGCTTGGCGCCGTCCAGGCGTCGCTTCTGGAAGGACGCCTGGCACGCTGCCCTCCGGCGGCAGGGGAGTCCGAAAAGGAGAGACATAAACCAAATCCCTGGGGTTCCAGGTGTCAACATGGTTCATAGCTCGGATAAACACGCTAGCAAGATTGGCATCCGAGGACCTGGTCAACAAATTGACATCCCAAGCAGCAAATCCAATGCATGCGCAGAGCAACCTACCATGCACACAAGGTTCCCCAGTGGCTATGTCGTCTGAGCATGTGTCTAGCTGTAACAGAAGAGGGGCCCTACAAATTGTCGCCTTCAAGTCGCCGGGAGGGTCCGAGCCAATTCGGCTCATTCGCCGTCCAATTTGTATCGCGCATGGATCACAGCTCAGCTGGTGCCTTCTAAACAAGAACCACAATAAACTAGATAAATGTTCTCCTTGTGTACTCAACTTTGCGCGGACCTCTGTATGCTCTTCGTCAGACACTTTGAGTAGGGAAGCTAAGCAAACTTTGTGGTGGGGTCAAAGGTTTGGAGCGCCAGTTCCGTGCCTGCATCTGTGGCGCTGAAAGGCCTGCCAAGATGCGACCCTCCACCGCAACGATGACCTGGCAAGCGCAGCACTGCCGCCGACCAGGGAGAAACTAAGCTGTGCGTTGCTCAGAATGCTACTTCATGCATGTTGGTGTTATTAAAAGCTTACCTGCTCAAAACGAGGCTATAGCTCCACGTGCCATCTAGGCCATATAGCCGTGACATCTTCGCACCTCGCCCAGCTGTAGGGCTTGACCCGGCCTTGGCGGCAAATCCTATGGGTTTTACGTGAGAGATTTGCTTCTCCAGGAAGGCCGGACCAATCAAACCGTTGACATTTGTCAGATTGGATGGATTGTTCTGATGGATGTAATTATTTCGGAACCGCTCCAGCTGCACTTGACTAACCCTGGAACAAAATCAACATATGCAAAACACTGTAATCATCATGGCTCCAATCCATTTGTAGTTGCCTATCCGGTTTTGGCCCTGAGGAATTGCTGCTTTCAAATGCTTTCAGGGCCACTGATCGGGCCCGTTTTGATAAAGTCTCGGCGAGACATAACGTGCACAGAAGCTGCCTTCAAATCAAACATCAAGTTTAACCTCAAAGTTCAGCAGAAGGTTCAGGGATATACTGGTGACGCCAGAAAATATACGGCACGTGCCAAAGTAGAGCTATCCAGCGTGCATTGCACTTTGCCGAATGGCCATCTTGCTAGGTGGATGAACTTCATCCAATGATTTGTCCAGGACCTGTCTTTAACAAGGGCCTAAACAATTAGAATGGGGCTGCCGGGTGCTTGAACAGCAAGTTTACTTCTGAGTATAGCATAGGAGTAAACCATGAGAAATCACTGAGCCCCTTTTACTTTCCAACGGCTTTTGGGGTTCAAAGGGCTACCATACCTTTCCAGAACTCCTGGTAGCTCCTCGGCTCCCTCTTTGAATGGGGGGACTTTGGCAAAGCAAACCAGTAAACACAAACCAAGAACAGTACAAGTAATGTTACTTTCTTCTCTTAATGAGTAGGACACATGAGCTCCATGCGAGGACGTTACTTAGTTTGACTGGTAGGTTGGCATCCAATGTTGCACATACACAACCCGTGTTCTGATCTTGTTTCTGATAAGAAAAGTGAGCACTTGAAATCAAAAGTCGTTGCCCTTGGCATCCTGGGGCTTGATGTTGGAGGCCCCCAAAGAAATCCTGAACTACAGCACGTCCAGTTGCTCCAGGGTCCTGACTAATATCTCGCATTGCTTTAGGGTCTCAAAGGGCGTATTTGCATGACAACAGCACTTGCTGGACCTCTACAACCGCTTGAATCCTTTAGTCGCTAACTGCGTCTTGAGAATGTAACACGTCGCCAGTGAATGAGTACGAGTGACCACTTGTCTCATTCTGCGAGCGGCTCAAGCAGCACCCGGGCTTTGCCTAGGCTGAGAAACCGACTCCCCAACATTTTGCCATCCAAAGCCTGAAAAGGGGCACTCGGCAGCCCCGGGTGCCAGAAGCGCTGCCGACTGCCCTCGGCGGGGCTGGGTGCGCCTCTTCCAGGCCTCCTCTTGCAAGCTGGTGAGACATGGTGAGGAATATGGATGCAAGAGAAGTATCTTGAAATTATCTGATTGGTGAGGCTAAGTCAAAAAAAACTCACGCGTGCTCAGCTAAATGTAACTTCAGGCAAAAGACTTGTGATCCTTTGCGTGCTCACCATTTCTCGGGACCCATGCTGCTCCGCTGCACATCCTCCTCTGAAAGCTGCCGACACTCTATTTCCAATTCCAAGCTTCGGCGGAAGGCGAGAAAGTTGCCACTGGCGTCCAGCTGCTTCGACCAAGCGACGGCACACAGGCCCCAGTCGCCGAGCCGGTCAATCATTGACAGCCGCTCGGCGACATGCAGCATGTCCGAATACCCGGTTGCGCTCAGTCGGGCAAACGCCCAAAGCACAGATGGCAAGTCGAGCCGGCAGCCGGCTGGCTTCCAACCAGCAGCGTCAGTTGCCACCTTCTTTGCCGCAGCTTCAAGAAACACATCATCGCAGTAGTCGCTGAAGGCTGGACCCCAGCAACAGTTTGCAAGTGCTTGGGGCGTTGTTTGAGGCAGCACCAACCGTGCTCGCTCCACTACGACAGGAAGTGCCTCACGCAAATCCTGTTTGTTGGATGGATCCAGGGAGAGCTGTCCTCTGGCCCATTTTGGGCATTCAACTGTCTGTCGGGTTGCAAAAGCCAAAGGTTGCCATAAAGCTGCCAGCTGTGAGGAATTACATCCGTGAATCCTGGCTGCTGCCCAGCACATATTTGCTACTGCACGTGCAAGTCCACCTGGCTTTCGCAACAAAGACTGAGAAAGCTTCACTAACTTGGGAAAGTAGGAATGCCCCGCCACTCCTTCGCGCTTAAAACTGGCAAGCCTGTCCCATGCAGCAGACACCGAAATCTCCTCGCGAAGCAGGTTCAAAACTTCAGATGCACAAGTAGCATTCACGATGCGACTCGTGATTACCCACGACGAGTGTGAAGGCCTTGAGCCGGTCTCCGCTTACGCTCACGCACCCGTCGAGTGTGCACCAAGAGTCGCCGGGGCTGGTTGAATTTGTCTAGATTTGCCAATGAGTACAGTAGTCACCAACAGAAAAGAACACGTCGGCCGCAGCTACACGCAACTGGCTAGGTCAAAGGAGCACAAAGCCCTTCTAAACCTACGCACGCGGAAGGTCTAGCATCTTCCCTGCATCTCACACACACACACATTCCATAGTGTCAAATGAATCAACAAGCATGAGTGACAAAAGCATCAAAGGAAGGCAGCAACTCATCGCGAATTGAAGTGAACTCGCCACTCCCCGGAAAGAGAAAGCCAGCCTCTGCCCAACGCCCAAGCTGGTTTGAATTGCCACAAGTTGGGCTTGGGGAACATAGGAGAGTTGTAACTTACAAACTGCAAAGTCCTTTCGGGGCTCCCCGCTGCTCTTCCACGGTCTCCACCGCGAGGCCGAATTCCGTGTGCCTCGGCTCTCAGATTCCACGGATCAAAAAGGCCCCGCAGTGCGGCCGCGGAAAAGGAAGCTGGAAGATGGAGTCTCGAAAGGCTGCTTCTTTTGGGAGGTTTCCCAATAGATACCTGGACCCGGGAAAGCCAGCCACTCTTGCAGGCATCAGTGTGACCCAGCCGGTGCCCTTCGAGCCTTACAGCTCCAGTTCGCCCACACTCCGACACTGGAGTCACAACAGCATCTTTATCTGCTTCAACCAAAAGCAAATCCAGAGTCAGGAGATGAAATCGTGCGCCAGACAGGGTCCATCCCTTCAAATACTTGCGGGATGATCACCATCTCTGTTCATGTCAACTCTCGTGATATTTCAATTTCTCAATAACACAGCATAACATAGCGCTCGCGGCCATCTCATCAGCAACTCTTTTCACCCAAGTCACCTCTCTTCTGACGGAGGCAAAGCAGAAACATGTTGAAATTGGCCCCTCTGCGTAGTGATTGATTGGAAACCAAAGGAATTCATCCATTTCCGGGATGTCCACTATAGCAGGAGGACCCAGCTGGGAACCAATCGGCAATACGGAACCAATCCCCTACAGCCAACCTGATCAGGGTCCTTTGCGTGCTTCCCCTTGACATTACCTCATCAAAAGAGAACTTCGCCCTAATGATTATATTGGTATCACACCAAGAACAAATGGAAAAGAACCCCTGCTGTTTCAGAGAAACACCGCCAGCCTTCCACTTTCTGATTGGCGGACAGACAGACCATCTTGGGGGGGCTACACCCTTACTACTTTCTCTTCTTCTTTTTTGTGGGGGCAGGGGTGGGGGGGGGCGTTGGGTCGTTTGAGGCGCGCGCGCCATGCCCAGTCCGCAGCCATGCTCCGGGTGCACGCCTAAGGCTTCGAAAACGAGCGAAGGCGCCTCGCAGCCGGTCCAAAGCAGCGGCGCTCTGCCCAAGCCACGATATTCCGTGTTTTGTTCGAGGATTAAAGGGAAACCCAAAGGACACCTGCCGTTTTGGGTGCTTTTTCCTATTCTGAAACGTACCCATGACTTAACGTTGGTGATGCCTAGTGAAACTGAAGTTATGTCAAAGATATAAATTGAACCATGCGGTCCGTATTTAGTCAGCCTTCAACCAAAACCAATGCAAATGCAAAAGAGGGCCTGAATGTCCCTTTGTACCCCTGACGGTCAACCAATTGTGGTCGGGGGTTCCCAATTGCAGGAAGCATCCAAACAACCTTGGTTTTCCGCCAGCCACTTTGCAGAAAATTCACAAAACGACACTTTTTTCAATGCCTGTCGTTTACCAGCCTACCAGGGACAAAGCTTTCGGGGCGAGGCATCGTTGCAAATGCTTCCATGGCCGGTTCAAGCCGAATGAGAATGTTGGCAGGGTTGGTCCAGAAACCATTTCCGCAGCTATATGCTCCCCTTGGGCGGAGTTCACACAGATCAAGGCCCCCTCTGTACATACAACACAAGGCACCAGCAGGGTGTTCCAGTTGCAACGATCTCCTGCTTGGAATGTTAAGCTGCTTCTGAAGGACAAGGGTTGACTCAACATATTGATAAGTATAGCACAACTTGTTTTAACAATCATGGAGGTAGGAGGGCTTTGAACGACTCCTGTATCTTCTTGAAAAGGCCTCGTGTCCACTTGCAGGAATGCTGCGAAAAGTGTACAGCCTCTTGTTGGGCTTGCCTCCCATGTGGGCGCCCTGAGCTGACACCCGCGACAGTCTAAAAAGCCTTGAGATCGCGGCGCAGCTCCGCCTGAAGCGGCTGTCGGCTTAGGTCGTCGCTATTGACTATGGCGGATCCAGAGAATCCAAGTACCCTATTTGAGGAGGTGCTCTTTGTTGCGGGTAAGAAAAACCATTGATCTATATATTATATGGGTGGAGACCCACTAAGAGCTCCAGCTGTGAGCAAATTTGTCATTTGCATGCCCATGTTGTCATTATACCATCAGGGGGAGGGGCGGTGGGGGGGCTGATGGCATTTGGTTTCGGGAGCACACGCGCGCTTGCCATCTCGCCTGACCATACCCACAGGGACGCGCAGGGTTCCGAAGGCTCTGCAGGCTGAAGGACAACTGGGGCACCGCCCAACCTTTTAAGAGGCGCGCCCCGCAATTCTGAAGGGCTGTGCTGAACAGTCCGCGCAAAGAAGGCTGTGGCAAGGCCGTCGTCGCCTGTGTCAGTGGCATCTGACAGGGCCGAGCTGCAGCTGTTCTCTTCTATCAGCGTTTGCATGCCTGCGTGCGAGTCCGCACTCAAGGTCCATTCCAATGCCCCAACCACATGACCCAGCGAAACAGAAGGGGCTGTGACCTATGACTCATCGAAAACAAGTGATTGTGGTTTCCTAGGGAACTCTTGACAAACTCTCACCGATACAATATACGTATACATATATATATATATACATATATATATATTCATATTCTGCCGCAGTTTACGGCTGGATGTCTTGCTATCCTTATGGGGACTTGGTGAACATTCCTGAGTGTTGGATGCGTATTGGCATGTGTGCTCCTCAAGGCCGGGAGCCAATGGGGGCCCTCTATTAGACCAGAAAGCAAACATCGCTTGCTTGTTCCGGGGGCCCAAGGAATTCGAAGGCCACAAAGCGAAGCTGCGCCATTGAAAAACGAACAGTGCGTCGGACAGCCTCCGTCAGCGGGTCACCGTACTCAATGCCCCACGGCCCCAAGGGATAATGTTTTATCTGCACTGAGTGTTCTCTGCATCAAACGCTGAAGCAGTGCGTGCTACGGAAAGCTGGTGTCCAGTAGCAAATAGGAAGAGCCCGGAGCCAAAGGCCACAGCCCCGCCTCGCGGAAGTTAGCGTTCCGCCAGGTCTCCGGTAACTTTGGTATCACCTGCGTGCAAATGCGGCGTGTTTGTTCTGCAGGCAACCTGACCAAAGGTATCAAGGCCGTCCTTTGCTGACTTGGCAGACTTTGCTTCGCGTAGTGGCATGGGTGGATGCTGATCTTAAGGTAAACGCCCAAGGAGCGAGCAGAGTGGACTTTTCATGACTAGGTTCTGTGTTGCCACTCTTTCTGTTGGCAAGACAGCATCCCACTTGCAATCCCTTCTGGCCCAGGCGTACATTTCTGTCCCAGGGAGGTTCCGCTATGCATCCTTGTCCAAATGGGGTTCTCCTCAACATTGCGATTTACGAGTAAGAAAACTAAGCAGCAAACTCAAAGCCATTGGTTGGAGTTGTGCTGGTATCAAAATTGATCGACATTCGCTTTGTGTCAGTTTAGTTTTGGTTTAGCGTTGGTTCGAACATGTCCCCTAATAGACTGCAGTTAGGGTCGGCGGACAAAATGCTCGTTTAGACTATAATTCTAACTTAGTATTGGGAGGTTTAGAGTCTGAGAACATATATACATATATATATATATATCTATTGAATGGGTGCATATACTAGTAGAGGAAAGGATTAGTGCAGGACATTTGACACCTTGCCCACTTCATGTGGCCAAGAAACAGGATGGCTAAGAGGTCATGCTTGTTGAACAAACCAGACAACCAACAACGGACACAGCATCACAACACCCGCGCGCCTGCCCGCATGCACGCACGCATGCACGCACGCAATGACAAACGCCCCTTCCCATTGGCAAACCCAACCAAGGCCGCCAGGTTTCCTCGCCTCGTCCCAAATGGAGCGGCTCTTCTGGTTTGCATCTACATAGTACCTGGGACGAAACTGAGGGCCACGGTCCAAGCTCGGGGACTGGCCTCTTGGATTTGAAAGGAGACCCATTGCCTCATCATTTAGATAGAGTTCCGGACCAACAATATGTCACCGGAACACAAACAAATAGTTGCTTCATGGGGAAGCTGGGGTTTGACCTATGATCTTGGCTTGTATCCACCATGACAAACGATGCCAAACTGGGATGCACAAGCGAATGCGCTGGCGAACAGGACGAGAGCTCTTTGTGTCTGAGGATCCTGCGGGCAACCTACCCCTGCTGTTTGCCTTTGGACCAGAACCGGGGGGGGGGGGGGATGGCTATGGGACCGCAAAAGCTATTCAACTGTGATCCTTGGACTTGCCCACAAGTTGAATGAGCCTCTCCAAGGTCTATCACACCGGAGGCAGGATACGATGAACCCGGGCCCTGAAACGAGCTGCTGAAGCACAGGCGAGCGCGGGCCGGGAACGGCAAGCCGGTTGCTGGAGATTCAGCACGTCCACTCACGCCAACCCCACGTACACACTTGCCGTCAAAACCGGCAGGTGCAAGCAACGTTCGTGTGCCGCTTCTTCATTGAAAGCCCGTGGCCAGCAACCAAAGGATATGTTTGTGTTGGTTTAGCCACATCTGGTGGGCAAATTGTTCATGCTCGGGTGCTCTGTTGGTGCCCTTGTCACACAGGCTTCAATTTGAAGCGTGACCGAACAACATCTTCGCCACTTCGCGGACCAAGGCAGGTCGTTCTGACTGGTTGTTCTAATTGGCGGATCCCTAATCCCAACCGTTGTGGGACACCACTACAAGTGAATCCACTGCCATCTGGCATAACTAGCTTGGCCCAAATCTGGGCATCTCGCATAACTTGGCCCAAATCTGGGACACGCAAAGAAAGCATGCGGTCGGATTCTGATCCAGAGTCCATATTTTAGTCGACCCTAAATATAAAACATTTCGGAGGAGACCCCAAACAAGATCTACCATGTGCTTCCAGAACTCCTGGTAGCTTCCTCATGCTCCCTCTGAGTGAATGGGGCATTTGCCAAGCTCCTCTCCCTTCTAAGCACCATCCATCACATCCATTTCCGTCCATCGTCCATCCACCCATCCACCCATCCACCCATCCACCCATCCACCCATCCACCCATCCACCCATCCACCCTTCCAACCACCAGATAGTAGGATTGAACCAGGCTCCGCACCCCAAGCCGCGGGGGCCCAGCTTGAAGGCATAGCCAGGCCTCGCAACCATACGGCTCTGTGGCTTGCCCCTGACGGTGTTTCTATACTGACTGGCTTCGACAGAAGGGTTGTGTCTTCTGCAGGAAGACCTTTCACGGACCTAAGCCAAACAAGACACATCCTCTAAGGGTAGCTTCGATAACTCTTGAAGTCTTGCCCGATTTCCCAAGCAACCGGAAAGCGGCCTTGCTCCCTTGAAGGTCTCAGACGCCTGGCGCGGGCTAAGATAACGCGCACAAAAGAGAGGACCTCATGAAGGCGTGTTTGACACACTCTCACATTTGCTTCAAAAAGGGGAACCTCAAAAGTGCTCGGTGGACATTCATCCAAACAGCTTGATCAAAACACACTCAAGCAGCCAAACGGTATAACCCGGACATGCGCTCATGGTTGGCCAACAACAGCATAATTGCAATGGACTGTTGCGATGGACAGGTCTCATGTCTGGAAACATGGCATCAATCCTGCAATCAAGGTATTTAGTCTCACAGCCAAGACAATTCAGCCTGGACCTGGCTGCTGTCACCGCCGTAGTTCGGATTGCCCCAGGTCACCACAGAGCCATCCTCCAGGATGGCAGCAAAAGCAGAGCGAGTTGCTTGGATCTGCTGGACGTGCACCAACTGCTCTCGGACCTGCCTGCTGTCCCCACCATACGCAGGAGAGCCCCACGTCACCACAGACCCGTTGTCCAAGATGGCTGCGAAAGCTTCATCTGTTGCTTGGATCTGCTGGACCCGCACCAACTGCTCTTGCACCCGGCTGCTGTCGCCACCATACGAAGGAGAGCCCCACGTCACCACAGACCCGTTGTCCAAGATGGCAGCAAAAGCACTTGCAGTTGCTTGGATCTGCTGGACGTGCACCAACTGCGCTCGCACCCGGCTGCTGTCGCCACCAGTCTCACGAGGGCCCCAAGTCACCACAGAGCCGTCTTCCTGGATGGCAGCAAAAGCACTCTGAGTTGCTTGAATCTGCCGGATGCTCACCAGCTGCTCTTGCACTCGTGCGCAATTCCCGCCTCCGCCAGAAGAGCCCCAAGTCACCACAGAGCCATTGTCAAGGATAGCGGCAAAAGCAGTTTGAGTTGCTTGGATGCACTGGACCCGCACCAACTGCTCTTGCACCCGGCTGCTGTCGCCGCCAAAGTCAGGAGAGCCCCAAGTCACCACAGACCCGTCGACCAGGATGGCAGCAAAAGCACTTCCAGCTGCTTGGATCTGCTTGACGTGCACCAACCTCTCTCGCACCTGGCTGTTATCACCGCCGAAGCCAGGATTCCCCCAAGTCACCACAGAACCGTCAGCCAGGATGCCAGCAAAGGCACCCTGAGTTGCTTGGATCTGCTGGACATGCACTAACTGTTCTCGCACTTGGCTGCTGTCGCCACCATAGTCAGGCCGGCCCCAAGTCACCACAGAGCCGTCCTCCTGGACTGCAGCAAAAGCACCTCCAGTTGCTTGGATCTGGAGGATGCGCGTCATCTGCTCTCGCACCTGGCTGCTGTCCCCGCCATGGGTATCCTGGCCCCAAGTCACCACAGAGCCATCTTCAAGGATGGCAGCAAAAGAAAGCCAGTTTGCTTGGATGTGCTGGACCTTCACCAGTTGCTTATCGCACACGGCATGTTGGCCCCATGCCAGCGCTGCGCCTCCTGGGAAAAACAGTGCAAAAGCCGTTCCTGTGGAAGCTAGTCTCGCACCCGACAGCACGATGGCAGCAACGCTGTCACCATCTCGTATGTCTATATCACTCAATGTGGACGACGGATCTAGTTGCTGACCTCCGAAGGCAAGCCTCAGAAAGCGCTGCTTCAGCTGCTCTTGCACCTCAGCTTTCAGTTCGCGGACGCTGGAGTCCGGCGAAGGCGACACTGAGCAGCTCTTTCCACTGGGCAAGTAAAAGTGCACTTGCATGGCAAAATCGGACACCGAGGTTGGGCGAAGTTGGTCCCAACAACCAGGGGTCATGGGCTCCTTCAGGAAGGGTGTTCAAACAATCGTGCTTGTTGTTGTTTGCATGAGGCTGCATATGTCCCCTTCAAACCAACTAAGAGTGGACAGTTCTGCCTGCAGATCTGGAACGTGTTCTGCTCAAGCAGCCAAATAGAGCCAAATGCCAGCTCGCTGGCGGTTTGAGAAGGAAAGCAAATTGGAAGCCACCGGAAGATAATCAGCATATCTATGCGCATATGTGTATATATAAATAGCTACAATGTACACATATACTATGATTGATGTTGAAACACATCTTTTGATGTATCGAAACACATCTATTTGTGCCTGTGGCTAGTACTTACAGGCTTATGGTTGGTGCCTATACGTCGCCAACCCGTTGAGGAACATTTGCAGCTGCCTCCCAAGGCATTGCTTCTGGTCCGGTACCGGTGCTTGTCTTAGACGCGGTACACCTTTTTGTGCACACGTGCATGGCTTTCCACTTCATTCAACGCCAAAGCCGTAGATCAGGTCCTTTTGGGGCGTGTTTCTTTTGAGAGCCTGCAAACATGTCTGCATTGACCACGCAAAGTGAGTATGGACACGGGTACACATTCCCTAAACTAGTTCCTTGGAATGGAAGCAAGTGACAGAAGGCAAACCTAGTTTATCTCTGGGAGACTGAGAGTTGCGAGGGGGTGTGTAGCAGGGCGCTGTGGCAGCTTGTTGTTGCATGGTGCGGTTGCCATGTGCTCAAGGGAATTTCCGTCTGTGTATGTACTTTGCTGAGCATTCAACATTGTCAAGTATCTGCTGCTAGTTGGCATCCAAATAATTGCAACTCTTGTAATCAGGGTCTGTGCTGGCGGAAGTTTGAGGTCGTACACTACTGCACCAACCGAAAGCACGGAATCCGGTTGAGGCTCTTTATCATGAGGTGAGCTCATTTCCCTCCCAGTAAGCTCATCCAGACATGGGCAAACATGAAACATACAAAGCGGTGCATTCCGTCGCCCAGTCGATCCACACCTCAAAGTCCGGCGTGGCCTGGTCAAATAGCCCACACTCACATGGTGAGAGGAGCACAGCGCGGAATGACAATACTTCAAAGTGACTTGACTGCTTCTCCGGCTTAAGGAGAGCATTGGTGATTTCATATGATTTCGAGTTGGACGTAGACCATAGACTGCACACGTCAAGAGATAGACGAAACAGCAAAACGCTGGAAACAAAACCGATTTCTTTGGCCTGTGCGACAAGTGATGAGGGTGATATTGCTCTGGTTGGTGTATAAACAGTCCAGTGATCACCAACGCACAAGTGTTCCAAAGAGTGCTGGCAGTTGCGAAGCACATCCATCAAGCCCATGATTTGCTCACATTAAATCATCAGCTCCAGTATGGCTTCTATTCTTCTCCGCAAAATGGGAATTCTGCCTTCTGTTGGTCGGAAACCGACGGGCGAATAAAACACCATTATTTCAAACACTTTGACCTCGATCATCCTTTCAAAAAGCTGAACACGGCAACGTCACTCAGTCTTTCCTGCCTCTTGAGCCATGGCTTTGGCTCTGGCATGCTACGGTCACCCAAGACTCCGATATTGTGGGGCCCTGTGCTTGGTTGCTCCCAGAATGTTGCTGCAAATGAACTCCATTTATATATATATATACATACTTTTCTGCCTGGCACTGATCTTAGAACCGTTTGGCCAGTTCTAACATGGCGTTGCTGTATGAGCATGGCTAAAGACTTGACGTTCGCGATGCTTCTGGTAAACAGGATCCGTTGACCAAAGCTGCGGTGGACGTGAAGGAAGCAGGCGCTGTGAGACTCATGCGGGCAAACCCCGAAACCTCCTGGGGTTTCATTCGTAGACCTAAAATGGGCATCTCCCAAATGCATCCAAATGCGGGATATTACTAGAGTCTCGAGATACAAAGATGTCGCTCGGAAATCAATCAACCCATAGAGCGGCTCAAACCTGCTTGGAGCTGCAGGGGCCCTCAACTTCTTTTGGCCGACCCCTTTCAAGCCACCGCTTTGACATACAGGAAGAGTGCCTGTGCTGGATTCCAACCACTCCTGCCTCTGCAACACCTTTCTACACTCAACTTTTGCACTACCTCATTTGAAGGGCGGAATCGTTCACAGGCACACCCGACCGAATTCCCTTGCATGAAACTTCACTCGAAGCGAGTCTCGCACTTCCCACATGCGCCCGGCACAGCAGCGGAAAGAAAACCAGCGGTCATCAGAATTCAGTAGTTTAATTGGTGGATCCTGTGGATACTATCAACCCAATCCCAAAGCGCCTGCCCTTGCTTCGTTGTTCTCGGCAGTTCGGCTGGGTGTTGGTCATGATTTCTTCAACAGCAGCCCTGGTGCTGGTTCTCTCAAACCCCCTCCTGGGGGTTGATTTCAATGACCATGGAACATGAGTCACACTCAAACCCAGGTATTTTCAATGGTCCAACCAACACCTTCTATAAAAAATATTGGTTACTCTGCCCGGGCTTTGATTGTGGCTCATGTGCCTCTTGGTTGCGCCTTAGGCGCCTCCGGCTCTCCTGCCCTTAGTGGACTGCCACAAATCTTTTCGGTGCGTGGCAGTGATGGTCTCCTCCGACGATGGATGCGGAGCCAAGATGGGGTTCCATCAGCTATTCAATTTAAGCGCCTATGGCCCCCCTAGTGAACAAAAGCACGCCTGTATGAAGAATCAACTTATCGACCGAGTGGAATCACAGTCGGGTTCTGGCTTGCCCTGATCAAGGTACGCACCTGACCTTAAGTATTCGCGCCAAGCATGCCGGAAAAAACACCTTGTATACCAAAGTGGGATGCCCGTCATATGACGCAAGTATCACAGACAGTGGCCACCTAGCCCTTGTTCCACAACCATGACCAAACGCAATCGTGCAGTGTAGCATCAATTACACGGGCTGTCCTTGTTTGCCACTTGACCTGCAATGTTTGTTGGCTTTTGATGAGAAACCACTCTTGGCTGGTGGAAACAAACAAAAGCTTAAGCGAACCATTTCGGTGGTCCCCTACCCACTTTTTTGTAGGGGGTGGGGGGTCCACCCCCGATCTCTTCCATACACCAACGCGTGCGCATCCTCGATGGTGCCTCTGGCCACAAAGCGCCAGCAGTGCACCTGGGCGGAACATGCGGATCAAACCTGATTTGGTGCATTGCTCATTCCCGGCTGGTCGACTTGCTGACATTTTGTAAGCCCATGTTCCAAAAGGTCAAATTCAAGCCAAAGAGTGCCGATGTGAGGCTTCTGTCTTATGGAGTACATATTCAACCAATGTGTCATCAATCATCCAGCGCACCAACACACAACCATTCAGTTGGGTCGTGTGCAATCTCATCAATGTGGCAAATAAAACATGCTGAGTTCCCTCTGACAACAAAGCACATAGATGAACCGTCAATGGGAAGGAGTTCAAGAAGTTGACAAGGAATTGTAGAGGGAGGAAGGCAACTTGAAGAGCAGTTCGAGATGAAACAAACACTCCCGCCACCTTTTTGCCTCCCCTAGTTGTTGGGCAAATCGTGGCCAATGTTTATGGGGAATAAGGACACCCTCTTTTTAAAGTTGATCTTGACAGGACACCTTATACCCTGCTCCCATCCACTGACGGTCACCGAATTTCGGACAATTTGAAAGGTGGTTGCATTTTAACCGCTACAAGCCCTACATCTGTCCTGTTTTCTTGTTTTCTGATAGTAGAGTAGGGGCACGACAAACTTTAACGCAACCCCGATTGGGAAGGCATAGCCGTGGGCAGCTCAGGGTACACCACCCGATGGATTCATGGTGGGTTTTTGACTGTGGCAAAGGCTCGCCCGTGGGTTTTCCCGGCATCAAAAGACAGGTGCGCGCACCTTCAGGCTGCTGATAGAAATGGGAATTTGCCCCACTATTTGTGGGAAATAGCCCCATGTCGTTTCAGGTTGGTTTGAAGGAAAAAACACAAGCACCCCCCCCCCCCCCCATTTTGTTTGGGAGGGCATATGGACACATAGCCGCTCAGGCTGAGGCTCCAGCCGTCTTCTGCTGCCCATAGCGCCGACACCGCGCCAGCGCCTGCTTTTCATACGCCACGGCTCGGTCGAAGGAGCTGGCAAACATGGGGTGCACAAAGACCACCTGACGACTCTGCGGATGGATCTCATACTTTCAGAAGCCCAGTGGCCATGGGGAAAAAAACACCCTTCGTTGAGTTGAAAGGGACACTCCAGCATAGCTGCTACCTAGATGGGTCTTGTGGTTCCGTTTTAAGCCAAGTTGAAACGGGTACCAAAAAAAACAGACACACACACACACACATGTTTCGTCTTATGCTACTTCCAAACCCATCCAAAAGCTGAAACAAGAATTGGATAGGACCTACTTCTTTGGTGTTCACTCGTTTTACCCCCCCCCCCCCGACTTGGTGAGCTCGCCCTAAAAACGGCAGAATGCCCCCAGGCTCAGTGTCAAGAGTGCTGACCATCTGGCCAAGGCCATAGTCTCGGTGAGAGAGCCCTTTGCAAAGGGTACGCGCTCTGTCCCACAGAGTCATAGTTGGCCGGCAAGCAAGGACAAATAATCATATAACACTGTCTGAATACTAATGGATGAACTGTGTGAGAAAGGCGACAAAAGGCCCGGCAGGCTCGGCGACTCTGCTTGTTGCACGAGCAAACCAGTTTGAGTAGTTACAGTAGCATCTTGTGGCTGTCACCCCATTCGCGCCGCGTCGATCTTTACACAAGGCTGCAGAAATCAGGACCCCAAACGGTCCTAAACCCCCCCTCGTGGCTTCGATGAATGACCTTGTACCAAGGGGGGTTGTCTGAACCCGAGCCCTACTTAGGTTATATACTGCCCAAGGCTTCTTGACGCCTTGCCATGCGAGTCTGTGATTTCGAAGGCACGTGGTTGGCAGCGGTGAGGTTCGTGCCGCTGGCCGAGTGCTCCAAAGACAACAGCAGAACCCGCGAGTCTTCACCATCTTCCTGGATGCGACTCGCGAGATGAATCTGTGGGTGGGTTGGACGCTGTTGTTTTGGTTGTTTGTACAGTGCCCATCATTTCATGGCACTGCAGCAATGTCACAAACCGGTGAATCTATTGCCATGTCGCCCATTGTGCAAACCGGCTCAAGCACCAACAAACTAGGACGAGTAAACCCTGGCCATCGAGGCGCCATTTCTGAAAACAAGCAAACGTGCCTCAATAGCAGCTGTACGCATTTGCAATCACGAAAGACATCATCAGACTTAGAAGGGGACGTACTTTATAAACAGGAAGCTCTCATAGAAGCAATCCAGCTAAACACATGTATTTATAACCTGTGTGTGTGCATATATATATATATATACATATACATACATATATATACAGGCGGCAACGACATACAGGAATATCCAACCAGCCCCAAAACATCCCAACCCCCATCCCCCTCCCCACTCCGATTTTCACCAAAGACGAGCGCCTGAAAGCGCCGTAAGGTGTCGGCGCGCTGCCACACGTTGCCGGACAGCTGGACGTGGGGCACTCCGCTGGAGCCCAGGGCGTCCGAGATACGGCGCTTCAAGTCCTCCCACTGGCAGAAGACCAGGACCTTCTCGCCTCTGGTGGGATCCAATTTGTCAAAATACGGATACCCCAAATGGGTGGCTTCACTTTGGGCTTCGCGTTGACCCAACCCTGAAAGGGATATACACCCTCAAAAAGCGCACTCCTTTTTTTCTCCAGAAAACCGCCTTGGGGAAATTGAAGGGGCCGGACGGTATTTGTGGGTGTTCGGAGGCCCCCGCAGGTGTGGCTGAAGCCCACGAACAATTTGCCACTCCGCAACTCGGGATTCCCCATCACACATCATCGTTTCGCATTTTGTGGCAAGCGCACCTCTCAGTTACGATTCATGGGTGACGTTGGAACGGACTTTTACAGAGCAAAAACAGTCATTTTTACGGGTTGGCAACGTGTCGGTGGAGACAATGCATATCCACGGAAAGGGGGATTATCAGCAAGCAGGAACATCTTGAAATTCTCATGAAATGGTCGCTGCAAAACAAACTGCTGTAAAGCAAGCAGTTTGATGGTCACGATTTCATGAAGCCTGACAAACCCATATCATTTTGTACTGGATGTGTTGGCTTTCAAACCTTTGGGTATTGAAGAAAACAATTACACAAGAAACGCTATGCACTTAGCCTGTGCAAACTCAACATGTGGCAACTCGGGCAACACTGGCACAACTACTGCACAACTCACGCCTATACAATAAATCACCTACAGTATAGCTAGACTCAGCAAAACGTTCAACTAGACCCCACATGACAACACAAAACAACTGACTTCCCTACAAAATGGGGTTCCCAACCAACCCTTGACAAAGCGCTGCAGAATTGGCCAAGCTGCTGCGGCTGATGTCCTGCAAATGCGCAGCCAGGGCCGCAAGCTTAGTCCCCTCCTGCAAATCTGCGAGATTCGAGCTCCGAAGCCCACAAGGTTGCTCTAAAGATCTTGTGGGACTCGAATCATGGTCCCTCGCCAAGAGAAAGCGATCCAAATTCAACCCAGCAGGCTTGGTGATGTTGAGGCTCGGAGCAACCCGGCGTCAAACTGACAACACGAGTTCTGCCAAGGATATCCAAGAATGGGGTTCTTCGAAAAAGGCCTTGTGCTTGCGACTTCCATTCATCCAAACAAGGGTGGCTTCCCAATGGATCCACCGACACGCGTTCACATTCACCTTCGGTGACTGCCTATCATGGCGCATGCATTTCGGGCATTGCAGGCCACTGACCTACGTGCACTGCACAACACACCGCAGACTATGTCGTGTTCAAAGGATCACACAGGTCCACAATCGATCCACAAAGTCACTCCTTAAAACCAAGGATTAACCAAACCCATGACTTAAAAAACGGACAAATAAGGTACAACCCAGGTCCCAGCACCCTCTAAAGGTTGAAAAGTGGGCCACCAAAACCACCGAAACGACCGAAAGGCGCACCTTGGTGGCCAGCTCGGGCTTCGGCTTGGCAGCTCCGTTTCTTCCTGCCCGGTGCTTGGCCCGGCCCGGCGTCTCTATGACCGTACAACGGGGTCATGGAGCCCCCTCCCTCAATTTGGGGTATACTGTGGATGGACGAAATCCTGCACCACTTGGAAACCATGGGGAATCATTGTTTGTTGGCATTTACAGGGGTATCATCATTCCAGGGTTTCTGAGGTGGTGCAGGATTTCGTTCATCCACAGTATGAGCCCTTACTTGACAAATGACTGCACTTTTATGTATACCATAAACCTAACTGATGATCAGCCATCGTGATGCTGGTCCTCGCTCTTTGTGTGCAAGTTCTGCCGCCAGCGCTGTAATCTTGTTCTTCCCGGTCAGCTTGTGGCGACACACCTGCCCAAGAGCCGAACATGGAGCCGGACTGCGCATGCTGCTCTCGGTAGAGAACAAATGCCGCAGCTGCTCAAACTAGCGCCTCACCAACGTTTCAAGGATCCAGTGCTTTAAAACAGGGAATGACATGCCAGTGATTTCAACCCTGGGATTCATCCGATTCCCGCAGTGCCTTCTAAACATGGACAATCTTTGCGAAGTATTCCAAAGATGCCAAGAATGTTGATGCACTAAGGAAGCCAATATTGGCTTAGAGTATATCCTGGTGAACGACACATGCTTGCCCAAAGCATCCCTCATCCCTACAAAAACAGTCTACTTTTCGGCCCGAATGTGCTGTTCGAGGCACCGGGCATGTCCCAAAGTGCTTGACCACCTCCTGCAGGCAGCTGCTGTGAAAGACGTGGGCGCAGACCGTGATGGACAGCTCTTCCTATTGCCGGTGGCACCCATCAGTCGCCAAAAAGAAAAGGCAAAGCCGGACCCCCAGTGGCCAACAAAAATGGCACGCTGTTGGTAGATTTCAACCCCCGTCTCAATCAAACAAAAAACAACAAACAGAGAACTGGGTTTCTGGGTGTCCGGAAGGCCCCCGGGATCTGAATATCAGCATCTTAGAATCTTTAACGCTCCCTGAAAGGAGAAAGAACCCCACCCTTTCAAAGCCTGGTTGGAGGACTCGAAACCAGTCAAGAGTCTCAGACATGTGCCATATCCCTGTTGCCCTTTGGGACTCGAAAGAAATGGAGGCTGTCAACTGCGAATATCTGGTCCGACTGTGCGCCAGTGAGCTGACCCAAGGCCAGAACATGCCAGAAAGGCGAGCTGTTCAGGAAGACCATCAACTGTTGTGGGCTAGGTTTGCTAGGTTTGGTGAATTCCTGCCTTGAACACTTAAAAATCCAAAGCGATATTGCATGCAGCATTCAATCAACTTCGTATAACCCGCAAACGTTTACAGTACTAGGCCAGGCAATTGATGAAAAATTTGAGAGCCGCACACCTAGGAAGCCAAATCTGGTTCAGCCCTCTCATGCAAACTCAAGCCTGCCAGTGCTGGCCACCAATGCTTGAAAACAGAATCTATGCGTGCCTTGCTATGTCAAATCCAAATGAACCGCGGACAGCATTGTTTTCCCCGAGAGAACAACGACAAATTGGGTGCGCCTTGTTTGCAAGCTGGGCTGGACCTGCCGCACTAAAAGAAATAATAAATGACTTCCTGTGTTCTTGTCAGCTCAAAGGAGAGCGCCGCAGTACACTTGGGACACCCAAGGAACTCATTTGGGGCCCACATGACTTCACTTGACGATCGGTGAAAATGCGTGATCTCTCCAGGCCTTGATTGAGACGGACCAAACTTGGCAATGCATAGTTCTCGAAGCACGGCCACCCCGCGACTTTGCATTCCAAGTACCCTCCGGAACATGGAAGCGCTTCGTATGTCGGGACTCAGAACCTGCAATGTGTTGGTCAAAAGAACACCGGATAGACCTACTGTACCTCCAGCGTTGCCAATGCGGCTCCCAAACTAAATGTGATTGAGTCTGGGTCCATATGAGCCTTACGCTGCAAATGCAATAGGAAAAAAAAACATGACATATTGCCTACCCATCTTGACTTCCTATTCGGTGAAACTGCTGTTTGTGCTCAGAGACTCACACGGCCCATCCCCAGCGGGTTGCAAGGCGCCTCTTGGAGGTCTTCCTCGAGGCAAATGCTACAGGACCGCTCTTCTGCCGAGGCCTCGCCCCGCGCCGCAGCCAGCGTGCGCTCAAAGAACCTCGGGGGAGTTCTCAAACAAAAGGCCGAGGAGTGGGAGCCCCACCAAAATATTGGCTTCAGTGTGCTTTACCTCGTAAAGGCAAACTATTTCTGCGAGCTCCCAGGTTCGAAGCTTTGATTTAAATGCGGCCAAGAAAAACGTCGCCCACCTCAACCGCGCCTTTGAGTTGACGTGCACCCCCTGCCCGACTTCATTTGTGCGTATCCTGAAGTTGGGCCCCGGTTGAATGATGTAGAAAGTTTAAAAATCAAACAACAGAAAGCCAAGCAAGCAAGCAAGCAAGCAATCAAGCTGGCCAGCCAGCCAACCGCCCAGCCAGCCAACCAAGCCAGCCAGCCAGCAAACCAACAACCGGGCAGCCAGCCAGCCATTCTTGCGTGCATTAAGAAAAACACGGAAATACCCAGTTGTGGAAAGCTGCTGAAGGGAGCGCTGGGTGGATGCGGCGGCTTCCGCTGCTGCGACAACTCGATCTGGCAAGGGTGATTTGTTCGACTGACATCAAAGTAACTGGTTGCAAATTTGGTTGGTGGTTGGTTGGTTGGTTGGTCGGTTGGTCGGTTGGTCGGTCGGTCGGTTGGTTGGTTTGTGTCTTGCTCGCTTGCTTGTTTGCTCGCTCGCTCGCTTGATGAATTGGCTGGTTGATTGATTTGCAATAATCATTTGCCAGTTGATGATGAAACAACCAAAGCATGCATGTTCATGATTTGGATATGTGTTGAAATAGGGGTACCCAAAAAAACATGGTTCTTATTCTCTTCAAACTATGCAACCGGAAAAGATAAGACACAATACACACAAACACTTCTCTCTGCTCCGCCCAGTTTGACAGTGTCCAAGCGGAATCTACAGGAAACCACACGTTTTCACCCCTTTCCCCCCCCCCACAGTTGGGGGGCACTTGTACTTAATGTCTGACGCAGCAGCGGACAAAGGGCAATGTTGAGACTCCCAAACAGTCAGCGAAGGGTTTTGTCGTCCGCCTTGAAGCGCCTGCTGCGCCGAGTCATCCGGCAGCTTGCCACCCAACTTGTGCAGAAGCACGGTGGGCATTGAGGCCACCTGTCGAGCAAAAGTGCCTGATGCTCAGATGGTATCTTGGTAATTCCTGAAGATGGATTTTGCGAGTAAAACTGCGTCTGAGTAGGTACCAGTACCTAGCTACTTCGACACTTTGGGATGGTAATTGAAATCCTTAGTGGGGTCATGATGGTCTGTTCAAAATGGAGGAATGGCTGCGAGTCCACTACAACAGGGACCCCCCGTTGGTCACCCAAGGAAAGGCGTGAGGAGTGTTTTGGAACAGCACGGACTGCCTGGGTCAACGTAAAACCAAAAGTCTAGGATTCAAACCTGTTCTGCCGTCATTTTAGTAGAGAGCAGATTTAATACAAGCTGGTACATGTAAACCCATCAACCGCGGGGAACTTGAACGAGAGTGGTTGGGACGTGCAATGCTTGCACCAAAGCTACTGACAGCAGCATTGCTCACTACCCATCGCCAGCCTTGGCCCAAACATCGGTCCTGTGAAAACAGGGCGCCGTTCCCCCCCCTTTTTTGAACGGGACACCTTCCCAACAAAAAAGACTTTGAAGGGAACAACGGAAAAAAACGAAGAAGCACACAGATCTGGGCGAGGCAGCCTCTGCAAAGGCAATGGCAGCTGCCGCCTGGGCGCAGCTTCCACATGTCGTGGGTGATGGGTTAAGTTACGTTTGTTTGCTGGCTTTGCCGGAAAACACATGGGGCGAGCTAGCACCATGTGGATGTGTCAAGTGCGGGAAGTTTTCAGAATGAGCGGCTTCTCTTTGGGTTTTCAACACCCTGCAAACAGGGCACCTGAAAAGACAGGGGGCCATCCTGACTGCAGCAATCGGGTGTGTTGCTGTGCACAACCTCATACATTCCCAATTCCCCTGTAAGCATCACACCACCAATAGGAGAACTGGCTGCAAATTGGCCGAGGAGGTGATCTTTCATAGGAAGTGCAGAGAGCACCACATGGCTCAAATGCCAGTGGAGTGGATTTTTTTCTCAAGCCAAGGCGCAGCGGGTGCGGACAGCGTCGCGCTCGCTGCTTTCGGTGGGAGCTCGTGCTTTTCGGGAGGCGCTTGTTGCTGAGCCCCATCCTTGGTAGCAAATCTCAATGTGGCCAGGTGTGTTGGGGAAAACAAACATGAGCAAACACACGACAGTAGTACTTGAGCATGCCCCATATCATCAAAATCATCAAGACACGGGACATTTGGCCACGAAACGGACCTTCTACGCCTTCCTCAAACGAAAAGACTGGATTCACATGTCCAGGGAACAGGCAATGCTTGCTTATCCATTGGCAGTTCCAAGTAACCAAGTAAGCCTTTGCACGGCCATGCAGCCACGTTTCAACATGTGCGGCACAACAGTACGTTAGACCGTTAGACTGAGGCTTGTCTCCAAATTGCGACCTAGAATGGTTGGCTTTGCTTTGGAGCCCCTTTCCAACAGCCCCCAAAGAGTACCCAGTAAAAAACCAAAACACTCATAATATGGCTATGATTTTTTTAGGGGTCTGTAACGCGCGACGCGGCACAAATCTTGTTACGGAGGTCCGTAACAGAGGTCCTTGTTACGCAGGTCTGCAACGGGAAAAACATCTATCAGGAGCACATCAACGCAAGCCAAGCTGCGGAAAAAGCAGGGGCTGGCCCGGGCTGGGGTTGGGTCTGTAACGAGGTATGTGACGGCCATGTAACCAGGTCTGTAACGAGGCAAAGCAAAGCGCAGTACGCAAAGTGCGCCTCCGCAGCACCAACGCAAGCCAAGCTGCGGCAAAAAGGGGGGTCGCTGGCCCGGGCTGGGGTTGGGTCTGTAACGAGGTATGTAACGGCTACGTAACGACGCAGCTCAATTCAACGCAAGCCAAGCTGCGGCAAAAAGCAGGGTCGCTGGCCCGGGCTGGGGTTGGGTCTGCAACGAGGTATGTAACGGCTATGTAACGAGGTCTGTAACGAGGCAAAGCAAAGCATAGTACGCAAAGCGCCTCCGCAGCTCCAGCTTGATTGCAGCTATTCAACGCAAGCCAGGCTGCGGCAAAAAGAGGGTAGTCACGTCACTGGCCCGGTTTGTTCATCTGAGGTGTGTAACCAGGGTGTGTAACGAGGGTGTGTAACGAGGAGCGCGTAACCAGGGTGTGTAACGAGGGTGTGTAACGAGGAGTGTATAACGAGGGGTGTGTAACGAGCCAGCTGCTCTTGTTACAGAGGTCTGTAACGAGGTCTGTAACGAATGTCCGCCGCGGCTCTGTTACATGCCCCTAAAAAAAAAAAAAAAAAAACTGCCATATGAAGCCACGGTGCGACGGAAAGCTGCGCGCTCGCTGCTTGAGTCTCGCTCTCGATCTGAGATGACCGGAGCTGAGCCGCGTGGGCCGTGTCTGCTTCCTGAGGGCGCATGCCAATCCAAGGGCTGTGAGTCGGGAAATCAGTGCACGCTTGTCTTGTCGTTTAAGGGGTTTCAATGAAGCTTGGCCACTGGTTGGAGCAAAGCACCACGAATCATCCATTATCTCGCATCTGAAGAATGCCTAAACGCACAAATTGACGATGCACGTGAAAGGCAAGCTCCATGCAGGCGAAAGCTGCAACGCTCACTTGGGTAATAGTGCCCGCGTTGATTTGAAACAAGCCGATACCAACTATGCGGAAGGTCCACCCCGCCTTCTAGGCAAACCTGTTTGCAAGGCATGATGTGAGAAGGTCAAGCAAAAGTACCGATCCTTGGAACGCTTAGCTAGGGGATGTCAGCTAGTGGAACAAGCCGCTCAGGCGCTTGGCATGAGCAAGCCACCACTACTAACTTGATTTAAATTCAACCAAGTTGGATTGCCAGCATCCAGCATGTACTAGTTGCAGTTGAGGTGCGGCAGAAAGTGGCACGCTCTCCCAGGACTGCTTGGCCTCCCCCTCCGAGTCGAGCGACAGATCTGCGGGGCTGGGAGCTCCACAAAGGGCAACGCTCTGCAGCTCCTTGAGGTTTGCTCCCAAGCGCAAGAGGACGGCCTGCCGCTCCTCTTGCCTTCGGTCTATCCTGTCTATCCTGTCTTGCCGCCAAAGCAGCTCCAATTGAGCTGCGCGCAGCAACACCTCTTTCGACGCCTTTTTCGACTGGTCCTGCTTTGCTGACAGGATGCCTCAGGAGCCCAGTGGCCATCGGAAGGATAGACACCCCTTTTTTGGAAGTCGATTTTGAAGGAACCTACCCTGCACTCCTACATAGAAGAGGAACCAAAACAAGTTCGCCACTTGTCTGGGCTGCGGTGGCACTCTGAACCAGCATCTCCACCCGAAATGGTGCCGCAGTAGGCCGCGAAGTGGGAGCACAGCTTGATCAGCTGCTCTGCCCGTTCGCCATCCGCCTCTGCTTCCGTAACATCTCTGGAGGCTTGCAAATAGATGGCACGCTCCTCTGGGCTTTGATCTATGGCCATGATGTGCTCTTCCAGGGGAATCTCCTGAATCTCCTGACACGGGTCTGCATAATAAGCGGGTGTGTGTCAAAACATGATTTCCTGATGGTTTTCCTTTCAAAACTCACACACCCTCACCGTTCCGCGATGCCGAACTGGGCCAATTGCCACTTTCAGGGGGCTGCTTTATCACAGAAAGTCAGCGATTTACAAATCCAATGACCCAGAACCAGGAATCTCCTCGCTCGTGTTCTGCCTTGCGAAGTGGTCCAAGAAGTGCTGTGACATCTCAGCGGCCAGCTCCCCACTGTAGGGGCAGGCCCCCTCACCAGGCAAGCCGATTTGAAAGATCTTGGCCAGAGTAGCCACCTGCGCTACTTCACTGCCTTTTGGAAAGCCGATACTCTCATGAATTCGTTTGGACATGTAAGCCAAACAGTCTTGGTGCAAGTCACAATGATAGTTGCAAGCATGCCAAGTATGCAGTACTCGAGACCATTGACTTTCACTCTCAAACTATCAATCCACATATCAAACCAGAAAGTAGAATATACAGCATCGGGGGCGGCACTAGAGTGGTGACCCGCACTTTGGGCCTGTGAAAGATCTCTGGTGGGTGGCGTGCCAGTGAGCCCCCAGCGGTAGTGAGCGCAAATGTGCTGCAAGGATTCGAACTGGTTGGTGTCCTTCTTTGCCTGAGCGCGTTTGCCGGAACCTGTCGAAGATGAGAACGGCAATGCCCTGATGTCGCTGTCTGGCTGGCAGGGGCCCAACATGCATCCGATTGCTAAGCAGCATGTGGTGTTATTTGTTTGAGGTTTGAGAGTTCTTTGGGAATGTCGGGCAGGAATGGACATGTAGCCACCTTGCAGCCTTGGGGTGCAACGCCCTTGCGGACATGAGGCAACGCTGGTTGCCACCTTCTTATCTTACAGCTTGAAAGTGCCAACGCACTGACATTTGCTCAGCAACACTGCCCCCCCCCCCCCCCGCCGCGAGCTTGATTGGCAAGGGCAGCCCTCCCCAAAATACAGTGGAAAAGAGGGTGCAGAGCTTTGAAAACATCCCTCACGCTTTGGCCAAACCTGCCTCCAGCTCATGAAACTCATCCAGGACGACCCGTCTCCACCAGACTTGCTCCAGGACCGGAAAGTGCAGCTGAGCGCTCAACCCGCTTGCTTCGCCTTTGCTCCAGCCGTCGACGTCTCCATGCTCTTGAAAGCGCCGGGTGTTCCGTCGTAGCGTCTGGATCCTGACTTGCTGAGGGAAGGGGTGGAGAGGTTCTAACCCTCCAGAGGGAAATGTTAACGATCAATGGACTTTGTGGGTAACCCTCCTGCCCCAGTTTCATTTTGAAAACGGTTGGAATGACGGCACCTTTTTGAGTTGAGCTGAATTGGCAGTATGGTCCGAAGAACAGTCAGGTTTGGGGTGCTTGTTTTGTAGAAAAAAAACAGGTCCGTTTCAAACGGTTTCCCTTTGGTTTCCCTGCAAAGCTCTCAATAAAATGGCACCCTCAGCAAATCGCAGCCAAGTCTCTCCGCGTGGCTGCGCAAGATCTCGGCCTCCGACTTAGCCGCGACATCCTCACCCACCAGTTCCAGCAAGCGCCGGCGATAGACCGGAGAGTAGAGAAGCCGGTAGGAGCACAGAACAATATCCTGACATGCTTGGTTGCTGTTTACTTGTATCTTTAGCCCTGTAACCTTGACTTGTTGCGACGTTATTTCACCGACCATTCAAGACTGTGCCCCACGCCAGTTTCAGAGCGGAGTTGTGACATAGTGAACATCTGGAAACGTGCACAAGCTCTGATGTCACCAACTCGCGCTCTGGGTCGCATACCTGACAAACTGACATCCACCTGTCAGCTTGCATAGTGGCCAGTACAGTGTTCAACAGCATACGTTCATGTCACGCTCAACCACATTGCAGGAATCCAAGTCCTCGCTCTCTCTCTCTCGCTCTCTCTTGCTCTCCCTCGCTCTCTCTCTCTCTCTCTCTCTCTTTCTCTCTCTCTTTCTGTCTCTCTATTCAACCCACATTGCTTCCAGGAACCCCAGCCAGGAACCCAAGCCGTTGCACAAAGCCCCCTCTCAAACAAAAAACTCACACACTAAGAAAGCATGTTGCAAAGTGCAGCCAGAGCCGCGGCACGGCAAATGTCCTGAATGCTGAGGGCCTTCAGGTTGGTGGCGCTGCGAATGGCATGGACCTGCGCTACACCGTGAACCATGGGATCTCCGGCATGCCAAGCCCGTCCACACTAGAGACCTTTTGTTGGCTCATGTCACAAACACCTCACAAGGGAGCCATCATAAGGTGTCCTCCTGGCTGAAATGATAAGGGGACCCAAATTTAGACAGCATATAGAAGCCCTCCACGCATAATTGCTTCTGGGTTGCTATCACTCTTTAGAAGCTCGTCCCTCCCGAAGGACCTTCAAATTCCATTGACCCTACTCCCCCCCCCCACCAACACAAGACCGCCTCCAACGGTTGAGGCCGTATGTGGCCGTTGGCCCTAGCTGTTTGGAACAAATTAGGCTCATCAAGCCCTAACCATTTGGCGGGTTCTTTCGAGCAGTGAGTTGTGGGGTTTCAAGGATGGCTTCCTCCAAACAGTGCCGTCTGGACAGCACCCAACACCAATTGACTTTTAGAGCTACCAAAATGGCCTCACGATGACACCGCTCAACCACAGGTAAGGTCATACTGTTCATCCCCATTCAGTCATCCCCATTCAGCCCCATTGAACCCCCAGTAACCCCATTTATTTGGGACCCGGCCCCTCTAAATCCCCTCGCCAAATTAATATCGATTTCAGACAAGGTTTAAACTTCAACATTTAGTCACCCCGGCTTTACTGTTTTCTCACACCCACTCCGCTTAGCGCTAACCTTCCCCTCACCCACCCGTCACCAGGGGAAAATCCCAAAGAATACAATTCCGAATTACAAAAGCTATTGCGGATTATTTGTCCAAAACCACTTTCTTTCAGAGCTCACAAATTTCTAACAAGTCAGCTATCTAGACAACGCAACACATTAATTATATAACTATACATGCTGATTGAAAGTCAAGGTTCGACAAGCTAAAAAAGGGTACCCCCCCCCTTCAAGGCCAGTCGCCCCAGCTTGAGGTATCGTTTTTTTGCATCCCCTAAGCCCCAATCGGAGCTATATAGTGAAAAAGAGAAACCGGTTCCAGTCCTATCATAAAAGCAAACGCAACCCTGAATAACCAGTAACCCTGGTCCTCTCCACCACTGGACAACTTTTTTTTCACTTTCCTATTGCAGTTCTATTGGCCAAGACAGGAAGAGGCCCGAGGACCGGAATGAGGGGGAGGTCCAGGGGACCCTCCAAAAACAGTGTCTTTAATTGATTCTGAACCTTGGCAAAGGGGGGGTTTACAACATCAGCAACAACTGTCCCCCAAATCCCCGTGACTCACTAAAACCCTGCGTCCGGCCTTCAAGGGCATCTCCTCCGCGATAAACTTGCGCATCTCCTGAGCAATAAGCTGCTCGGCATGAAGGGACAACTTGTATCTGATGGGTCGCTTTGGAGGCAACAAGCAAAACGGAGGCTGGGGCAAAAAGGATGGGGGTTCTGGCAAGGAATCTCGACCTCTTGAGGCGTCCTCCATAAACAAATCCTGATCACAGGTTGCTCCGCGCACAGTCTACATACAAATATGGCAGTGTTTTGGACACGGGTGCTGTGCATGCCTTTTGAAAGGGATACCGCAGACCTCCATAAATTTGGCCCCTCCCGGCCTGTGGTACTTTATGGCAGGCCGAAAAGCAGTTGAAACAACGCTAGTGCAAACAATATAAGTAGAATAGCATACACAAATCAAACCCGCTTTGGACACGCACCCTGAAAAACAGCAACTCCGGTGCCATCTGCTTCGCGTCAAGGCCAAGTGGCGCCCAGCCACTGCTCCAGCAAGTTGGAAGGCACCAGGACCTGAGCGGCGAAGCCCCGGATGCCACCTTTGGAGGGTCCCTGGAGTAACTAAAGCGATCTTGGGGGTTTAAATGGATTGTTCCATGCTTTCCTCCATTTGGAGGGGGTACCAGCTTCTTTTTGAATTGAGTTGTTCACCTGGTCAGAAGAGATATTTTCAGGCCAACCACAACCAGTCACCACACAACGGCTCCCAACCAAAGAATGGTGCTGCTGGTGGATTAGGGGGAAGTGGACGCAAGCCAGCATATTAATGACACGCACCTTACCTCGTCCAACATCACATGTTGTGAAAATGCAAGAGGGTCAACACAGGATATGAACGCCCTTGTACGAGCGCTTCACGCATTGCAACAGCCTGACAAAACATGCTGATTTGCACACTGATCCAAAACTCTGGGCCGCGCACGGCATTTAAACCCCAAGTGGGGAAACAGGCATGTCTTTGGCTCTGACCGGAAAACTGTGCTTCTATTTGGTGCCCATTCTACAAAAGCTGAACTTGTGCCATTTTGTTCGCAGGCCATGTCGTTTTCAGCCCCGCCTTCTGCAGATCACTTTTTGCACAGCGAGCGGCCAAGGTGGCGGAAGAGTGGAAGAAGTAGGGCCGCCGATCCGGCGGTGGCTCTGGGAGTGGCTCTGCCCGACTGCCTCAAGCCGTGCGAATCTGAAGTGGACCCGATCCAGTTTGAGTGCCTTTTGCAGGGCGGAACCCCAAAATGGTGGTTTCCTTTTGATTTCCCTTTAAGATGTCAAGTACATCAACCATACACCACAAAGTCATGGGTAAATCGCGGCAGATTGGGGACTTGGTGTCTTTCTTCCCTTACTTGTCATATTTCAGGCATCCACCATAACGTCCAGAATTCCACCTTTTAACCAATCAATAAATGGAACCTGCCGCCCGCAGGCCTTCCCATGACAAATCTTTCACCGGTGGGGGGGGGAGCTTCCTTGGCATGACAGAAGTGGGAATAACAACGCATTGGATGGATATGAACCTCCCTTTCTGTGATACAAGGTGATTGATTCCCATACCCATCACTATTTCTTCACTATACAACCGGAATCCCATTGACCACTCACAGAAAGTCGCAAGGTTTCCGCAGTGCAGGTGCAGTTGCGCGTGAATAAATGTTGACCTGCTAGTAAAGAACATGAAAGCATGCAATCGAGGGGAATTATATTTCTATGCCGTCTATAGTTTTAGGTGGTTCCATCTGGCATTCTAGCAGCCGTGAGTCAATACGGCAACGTTGGTGTCAAACCAGCTAGCAATACTGTTCAGAAATAGCGACAGTGTCGATATCCTGGGCAACTGCGCATTTCACATTGAATCCGGCTTTCAATTCCCGGGTCTCTAGATGCCTTGATTCAAGACAGCCTTTCCAAGTCTGCAATTCACAGATCCCTCAAAGCCCCTACCAAGGTTCAAAGGCCCCGGCCGGAAAACATTTTCCAAGGCGCTGTCAATAAGACCGATGGTGGTGGCGGTTTTGCCGTAGCCAGGGGCATCTCCCAAGATGCCACCTGCCACGCGAGATTCGGGTCTGGCTCTTCAAAGATAAAGAGCCACTGGCATTTGGATAGGTCCCGTACATTGGTATAGCCCCTCATGTGCTCCTCTCAAAAGAACCAACACTTCCTATCAGTAATATTGTCCCTAAACAAAGGGACCATGGCAACCCCGCCATGTGGGTATGCTAAAAACGGTGGCACCCAACAACGGTGTGCTTCCTGTTGAAAATTGAACGGCAAGAGCTGCTAGGCATACCTGCAACTACAAGTAGAGCCTTGACACACATCACACAAACAACTATCACCTAATTGCGCTAGCCATCTGCTTTGGAAGTTCTCTAAGCAAAGGTTCAATATAGTGCGGTTCGCGTGCAACATGGTACCTCATGATGGAAAGCAGTTCAAGATTGCCGTCCGCAGGCCCCGCATATTTTTGCAGCGATCCGTTCACTGGCCTCGCACATCATAGAACACGCGTTGCCGCAACTCAAGCTGCCAGCCCAAGGTTTTGAACTCCGCCGACCGGATGCTCTCTTCGGGTATTGGCCTCTCCTCAAATCGGCATGCGGCATCAGACTTTGGATGAACGGGGCTAGCCACGGTGTCAGCAATGCCGCAAAGTGCAAGAAAGTAGTGAACGAGGGCTTAGCCGGGAGCAAAGCAGGGATTTGTAATCATGTTGGGAATGAAACACGTGCCATGCCTCTGGACCGTCGCTACCAGTTTCAAGAGGTTGCTGCGTCTCTCATCTGATCGGAAGAGGTGGGTTCCCCAATTCCATCTATCCAGTCGTCCCCCACATGGTGACACTCCCCGTTCACCCAAGTTTTGAACATGGAGTGGGGCATCTAGCGCCAACTCCTGCCAGCTTCACTTAGTCTGGCTTTGTGAAACATTGGATGCAAAGTTGTTTCTTGCACGTCTCACATGTGTACGCATTATGAATAAGTACGCTGCACATAAAGACTTTGAATGGCTATCAAAATGTGGATTCCACACATTCCAACATTCAGGATGGCCGCTGTTCTTGGCTTCGCCTCCGTGCGTGATGCCTTTCTTTGCCTTGGATCTCCTTCTGAACAACCGACCGTTCAGAAGGATGCAACAAGCTAACTTGTGGATGCCCCCCTCACATGGGCATCTGCTTTTGAGGGAACCCTACATAAAATCCAGGGCACACCCATTACAAGAAAGAGGAATCCCACCAAGCCTTCATCCAGCTCATGTTAACGACTCGGATCTGTCGGGGGGGGGGGGGGAGGTTTCGGGGTCGACCATTTGACACGCGACGTCGGCAAGGCTCTGGGCAGGCGGGATCTACCCGGATCCGGCGCGCGGTGGCGGCGAAGGGCGCTGAGCTCAGCTCGCGCTGCTGCATCCACCACAGCGACCTGACTCACTGACCGGGCTGCTTTGAGGATACTTTACGATGAATTACATAGTTCAATCTTATATTCATCACTTCAGGTGGTTTTCAAATACCCCACAGCCCCATTTCAATGATCTAGGACCTTGTATTAACCAAAGGGTCCCTTGGTATGCAGTGAGGATGGCATGATTGGAAGTCTAAAAGGGGCGCAAGCAATTACTGTAGTTCCAAAAAACCCAGTCACACTGGGTTGGTGCTGGAAAGACTTTGCTTTGCCCTTTTTGGTGTCTTGTTTTAGCTTAGTGACATTGCACCGTTCCGTGAGTGCCAACGAGAGAAAGGGATCCTTTACGCCGCTACACACAGCTTTAGCAGAGGGGTTCCACAAACTCTAGACTGATTTCTCGGGACGGTCTCACGTTTCCCGCAGTTCATGCGTGTGGTCGTGTGCAGGCACCCGCTGTGTTTGTCCGACTGACGCAGACCGATCTCAAGGGGAACGTTCCAAAAAGGTCGGCCGTTGCCGCACTCGTATTCTAGCACTGAGGCGAGTGTACGCCGTGCAATTCTTTTGCAACTGTAGACAGCGTAGATCACAAATATTCGCTGTGGCGAACAATTCATTTTGACCAGGCATCGGCTATTCCTGGTTCAGTTCACCGAATTGGATATCTGTGAAAGGAAAGCAGGACGGAGCGTGTTTGGCACGAGCAGAACCACATGCTTTCCAACCCATGGACGTGTCTCCAATGATTGGGGGCTACCACGTTGGATCCTTTCCGAAGGCCCAATGCCCCATGGAAGGACACATGCACATAGAGCCGGAATAGAAGGACCCCTTGAAACCCTGGCCTTCCTTCCATTGCTGGCATGGCATGCACCAACCCTTGCGAGTTCATTCGAGGTTGCCTTTTTGTCGGATGTTTGGAGGAGAAACCAAAGGAAACCGAAGCCCGTGTTCTCGGCGAACTTGAGACGCATATCCGCAACTTGAAAAATGGTTGCACCAGCCGGGCTCAAAGCGCGCAATGTGGGTATGTATCAAAGTAGCAAACCTCCAAAAAGGGTTGTCTTCATGCGCATCCAGTTGGATACCAAAGCAGTTTGCTCCCATGACTAGTTATTAGTTCAGTTTCGAGCGGACAAATAGCGCCACAGCCCACCGCTGGTGCCTGAGCTGCTCCTGCCGAAGCAAATGCTCGCGAAAATGCGGCGGCTGGTCCGCGCAAGGGTCATGGCCTCAGGATGCGGCAGCGATGGAGGTCTCTCCTGGTGGACCTCCTGTTGCCGTAGACCAGCATTTCGAGAAGGCCCCCATGCGGGTAAACATCTGTACCCGGGTGAAAGTAGATGGCACAGTTCCCTTTCGGTCTGAACCCACATGGGGAAATTGCGCCATCTACGCTCACCCAAACAAAAAAAAAAATGGGGACCCTTGCCTTTCGTAGACACCACTTGCATTGCTATGTACAAACAGAACGCCCTTTCAGCAAGTTGGTGGATATATCCACTATTGAAGTTCTCCATCAAATAGCATAGCCAAGTTTGTTGAAGAACGTATCATGGAAAATAGTAGTAAGGACCCTCCACGATGACTAGCAGCGGTGCAGCTTGCAAAGCACAGTGGCAGAGTTCAGGATGCATGCTGTATGCATCAGATCTCGTGCAAATGTGCTCATTTTTTCATTGCGCAAAGACAAGGTGGCAAGGTAGACTGGTGTCCATCCCTCTCTTCTCAAAATGTTGATTGCGTTTTAGTCAGCCATCAGCTGCCACCATTCCTATTCCAAGACAGTCACCGTTCAGTGTGGCGGCCGCAAATGTTCAAGTGACACCAACTATGTTCCCTCCACAAGCCCATACCCAGGGATCATGGAGTGATGGATTCATGTAAAATCCCACTCCACGCAATCAACAGTGCAAAGCAATGCTGGTGACAAGATTCGATTGCCCTGGATCTGAAGTTGTACCACATCCCCAGCTTTGCGCTTGCGCTTTCTGCCGATGGCGGCCGGCCCGATCACGGCACGCCACTCGAAGACTCGGCTGTGCGCGCCTAGCAAAGTCAGGGAAGGGAGGGACCCCCGAAGGAGCGGGTGGTGCGACCCAAATGGAAACCCTGAAAAACCTCATAAAAAGGCTCTGGTCGTTCAACTCAGTCAATCAGAACAGTTCAAAGCCGTGCGAAACATGAAGCATATACTGGGGACTCCCCGAATCTCTGTGAGGTACATTGTTTAAGATGCCAAATTTGGCGCAATGGCACGCCACCAGCATCAAGGCGAACGATGCCCTTCGACTCGACAGCCTGCTGAGTTTTTGGGCTATGAGTGCCATCTCAAATTAACTTTGTGCCGCTTGATCCCCAAAATGCTGAAAGCGAACAAAGCAGCATCTAAGCCACACCACGGCACATTACAGGAAAATGCCTTGCTCCGCACTTGGAATGTTATCCACTAGAGTGCAAGCAAGTCAGTGGCGTTCTGAAAACACGTGAGCATTGACTCAGCGTCCTGGTACCCCTGAACAGGCAAACCCAGACTCCCTGAGTCTGCCGCTCGCACATGGCACATCATGACCTGCTCTCACTCGAAAGCAGCTTGCTCATGAGCGCTCTTTGGATGAAACAACTCTTGGCCGCCATCAACAAGAGTCCAGCTGCATGCTGGTCCTCAAGAGCCAAGCTTATGCCCCCTGCATTGGGGTTGGGTCCACATTTTGCAAATGTTGAACCCACTTTTGTTTCAACAGCCTCCTTTTGGATTGTCCCTAAAGGTGACCAAGGGGTGAATGTTTCGACACATGTCGCCCGCTTTTTCAGCCGCAAACAACGAGGCCGCGTGCTCTGCTTGCGCCTGCATCCACCACAGCCAAAGCTTTGGCCACTGCTTCGGGGCAAAGGTAGAGCCTGCCATGAAGATCAGGGTTAGGCAAAGCGAGGTTCAGCAACCAACTCAGAGAAACCCAAAGGAGATTGTTCAAACAATGGTGGCCTAAGCATACTTAAAGATGGGGTTGGCCCAATCCTAGCGAAGGTCAATGTCATGGACAAACATACAAGGCGCCGCGACGCAGCGCTGAAGGTGGCCAGCAATACCCTACCAAAAGACATGATTTGGTGCACAAAGCCTCTTTGTCAGACTCTGTTTTCTTTGGAGTCTGCAGACTGGAGGGATGGTAGCACAAAATCAACAAAAAGGAAAACCAGAACTCTTGGAATTTGTGTACATCAACTGGAAGCATATTGGGCATGTCCTGGGCAAGGATAGCAGCGGATAGCATGAGGCAGCAATGCAATAAAACCCATGCAAAGTGAGAAAATGTCAGCAAAATGCAGCAGGCCCGGACCCAGCAATAACAGTGCTTCAACACAACAAGGCCTGATTACTAAATGCAATCCACCGCTGCAGAAGCCCAGACTGAGCCCAGACATTTTGAACGGTGTAGACTGCGGACATTACAATCCAGCGCTGAATTCCTCGTTCAACTTGCCACCCTCTCCCCTCTAGGCTACTCCCAAAACCAAGAAAAGAAACTGTAATCCCCATGAATGGCTCGAAGATGATTTCTGATGGAGAATTGAGCCCGTCAAAGGCATCTTTGAAGTGTTTCTGAATCATTGGGCAAGCAGAGCGGTGCCTTCTTCTGCTCAGCTGGGGCCACAGCATTTCGGTACTAGCCATCTCGAGGCTCGTAAGAAAGTGTCACTCGGCAGCCCCGGGTGCGAGGGGTGGCTGCTACCCCTGCACTCGGCAGGGTTGGGTGCGCAGTGTCTCTACCTCCTCTGGCAATGGGCAAGCACAGAGCCCACAAAACAAACAGTCGTCAACAAACTGAATCCCTTCACCAAAACCAGTGCATCAGAATCTTCAGACCCAAGCATGGACAATCAGAACATTGATGACAAAACAAGTTGCTTGACAAGACTGGTTGCTATGTGCTGTGGTAAAACAAGTTCAAAAGAGGTGGGCATGCACTAATAAATTCGAAGGCATGCAGCCTCACAAAGTCTTGGGCTGTGCGGCGTGCATCCACCAGGCCTCAGGTCCCAAGCGGCTGCGCTCCACGTCCTGCTCGGAGAAGTGCCTACGCGCCACCTCT